GACTGCTCTTATTTCTCTAGGATATATTCCAAGGAGCAGGATTGCTGGATCATATGTTACTTCTATTTTCTAACTTTTTAAGGAAGCGCCAAATAGCTTTCCAAAGTGGTTGTACAATTTTACATTCCACCAACAGTGTATAAGTGTTCCAGTCTCTCTACAACCTCTCCAACTTTTATTTTGTATTTTTTGGATTAATGCTAAGCTTGCTGGGGTGAGATGGTGTCATGGATTGAATTGTGTCCCCCCCAAAATATCTGTCAACTTGGCTGGGTCATGATTCCCAGTATTGTATGGTTGCGTAATCTGATGTGATTTCCTTATGTGTTCTAAACTCTATCACTCTGATGAGGTTATATGTGATCTCCTTATGTGTTGTAAATTCTATCACTGTGATGAGGTAATACTGATGAGGTTTACAAGATTAGATAGTATCTTAATCCAATCTGTTTTGAGATATAAAAGAGAGAAGTGAGAAGAGACACACGGGAACCTCACAACACCAAGAAAGCAGGGCCAGGAGCAGAACGTGTCCTTTGGACCTCAGGTTCCTGAGCAGAGAAGCTCCCAGACCAAAGGAAGATTGATGACACCGACCTTCCACAGAGCCGATGGAGAAAGTGTTCCCCTGGAGCTGACACCTGGAATTTAGACTTATAGTCTACTGGACTGTGAGAGAATAAATTTCTCTTTCCTAAAGCCATCCACTGTGGTCTTTCTGTTGGAGCAGCACTAGATGACTAAGACAGATGGTATCCCACTGTAGTTTTGATTTGCAATTCTCTGATAGCTAATGATCATGAGCATCTCTTCATGTGTCTGTTAGCTGCCTGAATGTCTTCTTTGGCGATTTGCCTGCTCATGTCCTTTGCCCATTTTTTAATTGCTTTATTTGTCTTTTGTTGTTGACGTTTTGCAGTATTGTATATTTTAGAGGTTAGATGCTGATCGGATTTGTCATTGAAAAATTTTTTTTCCCAGTCTGTAGGTTGTCTTTTGATTCTTTTGGTAAAGTCTTTTGATGAGCATAAGTGTTTGATTTTTGGAGGCTCCCACTTATCTAGTTTCTTTTCTGGTGTTTGTGCATTGTTACTTATGGTTCATATTCTGTTTATGCCATGTATTACAGCTCCCAGCATTGTCCCTATTTTTTCTTCCATGATCTTTATCATTTTCGATTTTATATTTAGATCTTTGATCCATTTTGAGTTAGTTTTTGTGCATGGTGTGAGGTATGGGTTTTGTTTCAGTGTTTTGCAGATGGATAT